AAGACAGAGAAAACCAAAAAAAGGAAGAACCAAAATGGATGTCAGAAGAAACTCTTTCTGAAACTTGCTTTCCAGCATACAGATACTAAAACTAATGGAAGAAATGAGGAAGTAAAAGAGTTGAACAGAAAATTTCAAAAGCCAACTTGAGAAGACAAAGTCAAGTATTACAATGAAATGTGCAAACATCTAGAGTTAGAAAACAAAAAGGGAAGAACATGCTCAGCATTTCTCAAGCAGAAAGAACTGAGAAATTTAAGCCTCTACTAAAATATTGAAGGACTCCATGGACAAAATCTTGGCATAGATGAGTGAACAGAGTCACTGTAAAAAAAAAAGAAATTGTCAATGGTCAGCCATTTCAGGATGTAACACATATCAGCAACCAATAGTACTGAAGGTAGAAGCTCAAGATGAATTAATGATATAGGCAAATAAAAAAAACAAGGCTCCAGGAATGGATAGAATACAAATTGAAATCTTTTGACAAACTGATGTACCACTGGAGGTGTTCACTCATGTATGCCAAGAAATTTGGAAGACAGCTACCTGGCCAAATGACTGAAAGAGACCCATATTTGTGCCCATTCCAAAGAGGTAACACAGTGGAAGGTGGACATCATAGAATAGAGTTAAAATCACAGACAAGTAAAATTTTGTTGAAGATCATTTTTAAATGGCTGCAACAGTAAATCTATAGAGAACTGCCAGAAACCCAAGCCAGATTCAGAAAAGGAGGTAGAATGAGGGATACCATTGCTAGCATTAGATGGATCTTGACTGAAAGTGAGAATACCAGAAAGATGGTTTCCAGTGGTTTTTTTTTTTAAAAAAAACTATGCAAAGGTTTTTGACTGTTTGGATTATGACAAGCTATAAATAACATTTTGAAGAATGGGTATTCTAGAACACTTGATTATGCTCATGACAAAGCTGTACATAGCCCAAGAGGCAGTCGTTCAAAAAGAACAAGGAGATACTGAAAGTTTTAAAATCAGGAAAGGTGTGCACCAGGGTTGTACTCTTTCACCATACTTATTTAATATGTATGTTGAGTAAATAATCTGAGAAGCTGGATTACATGAAGAAGAGTCTGGCAACAACTTTAGAAGAAAACTCATTAACAACCTGCAATATGCAGATGTAGCCTTGTTTGGTAAAAGTGAAGAGGACTTAAATTACTTACTAACGAAGATTAAAACCACAGCCTTCAGTATGAGTTGCACCTCAAAGTAAAGAAAACAGAAATACTCACAACTAGACCAATAAAGAAAATCTTGACAAATGGAAAAAAGATTGAAGTTGTCACAGACTTTATTTTGCTAAGATCCACATCAACACTCATGGAAGCAGCAGTCAAGATACAATACGATGTACTGCGTTAGGTAAATCTGCTGCACAAGACCTTTAAAGCATTGACAAGCAAATATACCAATTTGAAGTCTAAGGTGTACCTGATCCAAACCACAGTATTTTCACTATCTCATATGAATGTGAGGGTCATTATGAGTCAGAACCAACTCTAAGGCGCCTAACAACAAAAACATTTAAAAATAAGATCTGCATAAAAATCATTATTTTTAGGATAAAAAAACAAAAGTTGTATAACATTGAGAGCCACACATTCTTACATAACAATCATTTACTATAGCTAAGTAATGTCTCTTTAAACAAGTCATACATTGTCTACTAATGTAGTTTTTTGTTGTAGTTAACATTTTGTTAATATATAATATTAGAAGTAAAATGGACTGCCAAAAGAATCTGTGTTGGGAAAAGTACAGCCAGAATTCTCCTTAGCATTCTGGAGGAAGACATAGTATCACGAGGGACTAGTCCCTGGAAAAGGACACTATGCTTGCTAAAGTAGAGGGTCAGTGAAAAAGAGGAAGACCCAAACCAGATGGATTGGCACAGTGGCAGCAGCAGTGAGCTCAGGAGTGCAACAATTGTGAGGTTGGCACAGGCCAGGCAATGGTTTGTTCCGTTGTGCATAAGGTCACTATAAATCAGTACCTACTCAATAGTGCCTAACAATAACAAATAATAATATTCATACATTCGACTATGAACAGACGAAAAGTTATAAGTTTAAATACACCCGAAGTGGCTCAGAAGACAGGTCTTGTGATCTGCTTCAGCAAGGTCCCAGCCTTGAAAACCCTATGAAGCTGTTCTACTCTACACACATGAGGTACCACGAGTCAACATCAACTCCACTGAAACAAATTACAACCAAAACAACAGTAAAATCCACAAAACTACATGTTTAGGTTGATAAATTCGTGCAAAGTTATTTTCCACAAAGTTAACCAGCTCCTAAATCAAGAGTCCATCAATCCCTCTCAAGCCTTCTGTACCCACTCCTAGTTACATCTCTTCCCCACTCCCCACCCCATTTACTGCTTTCCTTAGTCTAAAGCCAGGGATTCTATTGGCCTGTTTCTGAACTTTATATCAATGAGAAAGCAAGTAATTTACTATTATTTGTTTTTAATTGTGTTTGTGGCCTCTGTCTCTCAGCATTGCGTTTTTAAGATTCATTCATGTTAATTGTGCATAGTTGTAGCTTGTTCATTCTAACTGTGGTAAAGGATAGAATTTCATCCATGAACATACCAATTTTATTTATTCATTTAACTGTTGATAGACATCTAGCTTATTTCCTGTCTGGGACTATTGAAAATAAAGCTTCTGTGAAGTGAATATTCTTAAACATATCTTTTGGTGAACGTAGAATTGATTTCTTATATGAATTAGCCAAGAAGTAGAATCACTGGGACAAATGCTATAGTACATTCTTCTTTTGTAGATCTGTCAAAATTATTTCCAAAGTTATTGTGCCAATTTACTCTATCACCAGAAGTATGTGAGCATTCTAATTGTTTCACAACCTCACCAACACTTGGCGTTTTCTTTCCTTTCCTATAAAAGTTTTGGATTATGTTTTCATTTCTGTTCTTGTTGTCACTTTGGTTTTCTTGTTTTAGCTATTTCAATAAGGGGATGTAGCTGTATCACACTTGCTTTCAATATGTATTCCCATGATGACAAATGAAGTCAAGAAGCTTTCATCTGTCTGCTGCCATTTCAATACCCTCTTTTATGAAATGCCTATTAGTGTCTTTTACCCATTTATTGTTCTTTTGAGTTGGCCTGCCTTTCCTTAGTAATTTTTATAAATTCTCCATTCAGTCTAAATATGAGGTTTTGCTAGATGTATTTATTGCAAACCATTTTTTTCCTAATATGCAGTTTGACTTTCACCTCTTCCCCTTAACGATGATTTTTTAATGAATAGAAGTACTCTATTTAATCATAATCCAATATGTCATTTTTTTCTTTGAATAATAACTTTCATGCCCTGTTCACAAAACCACAGCCTGCTTCAAGTTTATGAAGATAGTATACAATATTTTCCAAAAATCATTGAAAGCAATCAAAATTCAACTAGGAAAGAGAAGCCTCCTAAAAGTTGAGTTCGCATTAATGATGTGGCTGGAGCAAAGCTTTCAGGGCCTTCATTTGCTAATGGAACACAACTCAAAATAAGAAGAAACAGCTATTAATAACTGGAATATGGACTGTACAAAGTATAGATCTAGGAAAATCGGAAGTTTCAAAATTGAAATGGAATGCATAGAGATTAATATCTTTGGCATTAGTTAGCTGAAATGGACAGATATTGGTTATTTTGGATCAGATCATGATATGGTTTATTACACTGGGAATGACAAATTCAAGAGGAATGGGATAGCATTCCTCATCAAAAAGAAACTTTGGAGATCTACCTTACAGTACAATGCTGTTTGTGATAGGATAATGCCTATATGCTTACAAGGAAAACCAGTTTATACAACTATTAGTCAAATTTATGCACTGACTACCAAAGCCAAAGATGAAGAAGTTAAAGTCAACTTCAGTCTGAAATTGATCAAACATGCAATCAAGATGCATTGATAATTGCTGGAGATTGGAGTTGGAAAGTTGGAAACAAAGAGGAAGGAAGATTTTTTGTAGTTGGAAAACATGGCCTTCGTAATAGAAATGATGCTGGAGAAAACATGATAGAATTTTGCAAGACCAACAGCTTCTTCATTGCAAATATCTTTTTATCAATAACATAAACAAGACTATAAATGTAGACCTCACCAGATGAAACATATAGGAATCAAATTGACTTCATCTGTTGGGAGAGACAGTAGAAATGTTCAATGTCCTCAGCCAAAACAAGGCTAAGGACAAATTACAGAAAGATCAGCAATTGCTCATATGCAAGTTAAGGTTGAAACTGAAGTTCAAGAGAGCCAAAATACAATTTTGAGTATATCTCACCTGTGTTTAGAGACTATCTGAAAAAAAAAGATTTGATGCACTGAACACTAATGACCAAAGACCAGAGAAGTTCTGGGATAACATCAAGAACATCATACATGGAGAAAGCAAAAGGTCCTTGAAAAGACAGAAAAGACCAAAGGAGATATCTGAAGAGATTCTGATACTTGGTCTTGAAAGTAGAGCAGCTAAAGTGAACAAAAGAAATGATAAGGTAAAAGAACTAAACAGAAAGTTTTCAAGGGCAACTCAAAAATACAAAGTCAAGTATAATAATGAAATGTACAAAGAACTGGAGTTAGAAAACAAAACAAGGGGATACTCTCAGTATTCTCAAGCTGGCAGAATACTGAACAATGCAGGAAACATCAAAAGGAGTTGGAAGGAATACACCAAGTCACTGTACTAAAAAGAATTGGTCAATGCTCAATCATTTCATGAGCTTGCCTGTAGTCTAGAACTGATGATATTGAAGGGAAATTTTCAAGTTCTACTGAAGGCAATATCAAAAAACAGTGCTCCAGGGAATTCACAGAATTGGTAGAGGGTTAACAAAAAAGAGGAAATCCCCTAAAAAGCTGAATTTATACAGTGCTACAATAAACATAACAACTAATGTGAGAATGGCTCTTGACCAGGGAGTGTTTTGTCCTGTTGTACATAAGGGGGAACCAAATGAGCCTGCTGCAGAGCCCCTGGATGGAGATTCTTATCCTGGGCATTGTGTACCACTCAATGCCTTATGATGACAAGCTAGTGTACCCTGAGGACTACATCATGGATGAGGAGCGTTCCCATCTGGTGGGGCTGCTCCAGCTCTACTGGGTCATCCTGCAGCTGGTGCGCAGGTACGAGAAGATCAAGGTGGAGGAGGAGAAGTTTGAGACTCTCAAGGCCCTGGTCCTAGCCAACTCAGATTCCATGTACATTGATGACCTGGAGGCTATCCAGAAGCTGCAGGACCTGCTGCACCAGCCGCTGCAGGACCACGAGCAGAGTCAGTGCCACGAGGAGCTGCGGAGGATGGGCAAGCTGCTGTTGACACTGCCCCTGCTGCTGCAGATGGTGGCCAAGGCCTTGCAGCACTTCTACAGCGTCAAACTGCAAGGCAAGGTGCCCATGCACAAATTCGTCCTGGAAATGCTGGAGGCCAAGGCCTGATGGGCTGCCCACAGACAGACCCACGGACTGCATGGAGACCTCCACAGCCACCAGCGTCACCCTTCAGCCCTGTGTCCTAGCTCCCAGCAGGCCCAGGGGAGGGTCTCCTGGCTCAGGCTGTGTGTGCACAGACTCCTGGTGCAGGGGGTGGGGTGGTATGGGGGGCAGGGCATGGGGCTGCAAGCATTCATTGACAGAGAACTTCCAGAGGTTCAAGCCATATTCAGAAGAGGCTGTGGAACGAGGGATAGAGATCATTGCTCATGTCCTATGGATCTTGGCTGAAAGTAGAGAATATCAGAAAGATGTTTACCTGTGCTTTATTGACTATGCAAAGGCTTTTGATTGTGTGGATCATGACAAGCTATGGGCAACATTGAGAAGTATGAGTATTTCAGAACACTTAATTGTGCTCACGAGGAATCTGTACATGGACCAAGAAGCAGTTGTTCAAACAGAACATGGGAACACTGAATGGTTTGAAATTAAGAAAGGTATGCAACAGGGTTGTATTCATCTGCATATTGCAGGTTGTTAATGACTCTTCCTCTAATCCTGATGCCATGTTTTTCTTCAAAGAACTCAGTTTGTCAGATGATTTGCTCAGCATACAGGTTGAATTAGTATGGTGAAAGAATACAACCCTGTTGCACACCTTTCTTAATTTTAAACCATTCATTGTTCCCATGTTCTGTTCAAACTGGTCCAGGTACAGATTCCTTATGAGCACAATTAAGTGTTCCAGAATATTCATACTTTGCAATGTTGTCCATAGCTTGTCATGATCCACACAATCGAAAGCCTTTGTGTAGTCAATAAAGCACAGGAAAACATCTTTCTGATATTCTCTGCTTTCAGCCAAGATCCATCAGACATCAGCAATGATATCCCTTGTTCCATGTCCTCTTCAGAATCGTGCTTGAACCTCTGGAAGTTCTCTGCCAACATGCTTGCAGCTGTTTCTGTATTACCTTTAATAAAACTTTACTTGCATGGGATATCAAAGATACTGTCCGATGATTTCCACATTCCATTGGGTCACCTCTCTTGGAATGGGCACAAACACGAATCTCTTCCAATTCTTTTAATTGTCTGTTCCAAAAAAATAAGCAAATCATTTGGCAAGACTTGGATTGTGCAGGGAAGGAACATGGGAGAAAAGTCAAGTCTCCAATCTGAATACCAAAAAGAGAGTTCCTTAACATCAAAAGCCTATTCTTTTTCTATCTCCCTATACCTGTTTCTATTTCCCTATACCTATGCTTTATTGACTACGCAAAGGCTTTTGATTGTGTGGATCATGACAAATTATGGACAACACTGAGAAGTATGAGTATTCCAGAACACTTAAATATACTTCTGAGAAATCTGTACCTAGACCAAGAAGCAGTTGTTCGAACAGAGCATGTGAACACTGAATGTTTTAAAATTGGGAAAGGTGTG